CATCCATGGAGAGAGATTCAAAGAGCTTTGTCAATCGTCTTGAATTTTGATGTGAAGTTGAATGTGTTTCAGACTGATTAGGCAATATTCTTCTGCCAAGATTGAAAACAGGTTGATGAAATTGAAAGTATACTTTGGAGGGATCAATAATGGTGAAGTTGCAAGAATGATGTCCTGATTCCAACAAGTTTCGCAGCAAAGCATATTTTCTAGGAGGGGGGATTGCTGTGGAGGGGCTACCGTTTCACTTATGGCACCGGGAAATGTATTGAAAAATTGTGTGGTCATCAAAATTGACTGTCAAACAACGAATCCTGAGAATTTTTTTTAGGCGCGTATCCGTTTTCATAAGCCGAAGTGTAGTTTCCTTACAATATCGTAGGCTGTTGAGTTTAATAGAAAAATCTACCAGATTCAAATTAGGGTTTTTTTATGTATGGGAAAGATGAGCCGTTAAGAAAGGCCGAGTGCGTTTGGGGGTAATGGCACCAAAAATTCTTTGGATGGGGCCCATTATTATTATGGAGACTTAAAGGTGGATGGGCCATCCAGGCTGCATATCAGTGTTCATAAGCCAAAGTCTAGTTTCCTTAGGTTTGAGAAAGATGAACCATGAAGGAAGAAAGGCTGAGAGTTTTTGGGGGTAGTGGTACCAAAAATTCTTTGGATGGGGCCCATTATTATTATGGAGACTTAAAGGTGGGTGGACCATCTAGGCTTGGCCCATTTCTTCCCAAAAGGGAATTGATTTTCGGAGGGCTTTGGGGCCTGTTCGGCCTATGCTTTTACTGTCTTCTTCATCAACCAAGGAGAAGGTATTGTTAGGGCTAATCTGTCTGCAATTATTATGAGGAACAAAGACAAAGACGATAAAAAAGAAGCAGTGAGGAGTGCTCAAAGGAAGGCTTGAAATGGAGAAAGGAGATGATGCAAGGGTTAGATGATTATGCTTTATGAGGGAGTTACGAAAATAATGTTGACGTTGCGGTGGAATGGACTCGAGATGATTTCGATGGAGATACTTAAGAGACAACGAGATTTGAAAATGAATATAGTTTAACTAGCTAAAGCNGGAGATACTTAAGAGACAACGAGATTTGAAAATGACTATAGTTTAACTAACTAAAGCCTGTACCTAAAGGCACTCAATAACATTAAAAAATTGTCAATTAAAAAACCTACCAATTAGAAGATTACTAAATTACATCAAACTTGTAGAACAAAAAAATAGAAAGTAAAAAGGAAACGAAGACAAAAAATCCAAACCTACCTACATAGGCGCAAAAAAGTCAACAGT